ATACCAATGACCAGAGAACTCAGGAAACCATAGTTGATTTTCTTTTTAAAATTTTCTTAAAGAAAATATGTAAGTACTAGACATTCTTAAATCAATACGAATTCGCGCTGATGAAATACTTCAAAGAAAAATTTCTTGTATATTTTGGAATGTTTACAAATCTTCTGTTAAGGTGGTACCAGGTGCAGGTATGTATAAAAACAATTTAATTTTAAAATTTGAATATATTGTTTAAACACCTTTATCTTTTTTCATATTTATCTTGGTTATATTTTGATGTACTTTCAAATTCTGTTTCTAAAATTGTAAATTGAAAAATTTTGTCTGTCAAAAATCTAACTCCTTAATCGGAATTTGCTTGCTTTCTACAAATTTTGTCGTTTTAAAAGATAAATCTCTGGCACCTAATGTACCAACTAACAGGAAGAGAAGTCAAACTTTGATTGGACAAGGCGCCTTTGGAAGTATTTATATCGTAGACAGGGATGATTTTGATACCGGTACCAGACTTGCTGTCAAAGAAATCATTTTTAACGAATCAAATGTGAGTAAATAGATACCGATGCTTTAAATCCTTGCTATTATAATAAGCAAAATACAAACATATGATAATGATAGAGATTATATGGTTTCAAGGCACCACATTATCGTAGGCCACATTTTGTTATAAAGATAGTTTAAAAACAAAACGATATGCGTTTATATATATATATATATATATATATATATATATATATATATATATATATATATATATATATATATATATATTATTGTTGGGTTCTGGAATCTAGGGTATATATATATGTAGCGACAAAACAAAGGCAACTAACACTATATAAATATAATAATAACAATAAGATGTTTAATATAAATGTATACAGTAATAAGAATAATAAAAAGAGCAAAATGGAGTCTACAACATAAAATAACAAGATACTCAACGTCTCCCCGTCCACAGCACAACTTCACATCCAGATCTCAATCCCACGTTCCACGTTCCACGTCCACAGCCACACTCCAACCAACTGATTCACACACTGGCACACGCTCTGACACCCGTCACCTGACACACCTCACGTGAACACCTCTCGCTCCATGTAAACACACTCAACCAAGGGATACAACTATACACCAAAGGGAGGGTACCTGTCGTTCCAGCACACAACACACACACACACAAGCAGGGGACATGTAAGGGACGTAACAATTATATATATATATATATATATATATATATATATATATATATATATATATATATATATATATATATATATATATTTGTGTGTGCCTTCATACATTAAAACATAATTAATCTATCGTCAAATATATCGACTCTGGCTTCTATAGACTGTTCTATATGTAATAATATTTAATACTTAAGCGTTGTTAAAAAACAACAATTTTAATTCAAATTAATTAAAACTGATTTCACAAAATACGCTAATGGAATTGCCTGGTGTGAGTATCCAAAAACATCAATTTTCTAAAGATTATATAATCAGTGACTTTGGATTAATTTCATCTCTACTTATTTAAACTCGTGTGTATTTCCATTTGGAACATTGTGTGTGTGTTATTTTTTTTTTCTTCACATTTTATACATTGTAAGTACTTTTTTCTTTTTTATTTCTTGTGTGTGTTGCCTGGCCCCGGGTGGGCCTCACGGACAACTATGTCGGAAAAATACATCAAACGGCTATTCCTGCCTAAGTTCGGCATGGCAGGACATGCGCCAAAAACTCTAGAGATTTTCATAGAAGAGGGTTTTTCTTTAGCTACTCTCACAGCTGACGAACTAAAAAGAGAGCTATGTATGTTATGTAGCCTATCACCAGCTGAATTTGAAGGTCTGTATAACTATGGGACACTGCGTAAATGGTATGTCACCATTAGATCAAAGGAACTATATGAGAAAATGCACCTAAAAGAATTTCACAGAGATTTGCCACCTGGAGTAACATCCAGATACAGAGTGCAGAGAATATCAATAACCCACGCCGATAAATCCGGGCAAAGGGGCATGCTGAAATGGCTGCCTTCCAAGACAAGTGACGATGATATAATGGCGATTCTGAAATCTATAACCAGTCAGGACTCAACACCAACATTTAAGAGAATAGACCAATCAAATGTGGTCCAATTCACCATCTCTCTGGAGAAAGAAGATGTGGAGAGTGTCCCACACTATATTATACTTACAAATGAGGCCAACAAGGAGAGCAGAGTCCTTATAATCCTCAATGGAAGGAGGGTGCAATGTTGCCACTGCAACACAGACAGGCACCTGCCTAAAATGTGTGAGCATTTGAGGACTCGCGCTCTTGACGGCGTCCAGCTAGTAGATGGACAGTACAGGGCAATTGAGCCTTGGGATGCAAATGATAAAGAAGAAGTTAG